TATAATTGATAATCGTAATATACATCGATAAGGAAATTGGCCGACAATTATCTCTAGCATTATCTGGGTATCGATATATTGTACATTTGAGGTAGCTCTGAGAGAGGTCAAGAGATAATTGTAGGCCTATTTCATGTTGCCCAAATAGTTTGACGATTATTGCAATAATCATTATTCAGAGTCAGAGAAAAATAATTAATGTTTATTTCCTTTTAATTGTCGTTTTAGATCTTCAACAGTTCCCTTGTCCTATAAACTAACCCAAAACTATATATCTGCGATTTCGCCAGGAAATGTCAGGAAATCGCATTTCAGGGAGTCAAATTCTGTAAGAAGTTTAGTTTAGAGGAGGTCCGCAAACTTCACAAAATTGTGTTTCCAGGCTTCCAATGAGCGTCCTCGGCAGCAATAAAGATAACAATAACTCTACTGTAATAACACCACTGTAACAATTCATAAAGTTTTCCGAGAGGTTTGGGGTGGGGGATGCCTTAACTGCCCCCCCCCCCTTTGACGTTTGACCCTGCAGAAGTACTTGGCTGGCTACGGGCCTGCCCCTTCGACCAGTACCCAAAAAGATGTGCGCTCCCCCCCCCCCCACCTGTTTGCAAAACGGATCGCCGCCCCTGCACAAACGGTTGATGAAGTCAAGGCGAGGTATCATCAACACTGTCCAGAATATGTTAGGATGTAGCTGTAGAATGTTGACGATTTGCGATATCTGTAAAAAGGAGGGAATTGTCCAAATTCGGAAAGAAAAAAACAAGATATTCAAACCAAAATGTGTCAACAATTAAAATAAGATTAAGGAGGGCAATAGTGACCGAAATACATACATTAAACTTGATCTCATCCCTTAATATACCATTTACTATAACAACTATCAGATTTTATCAAATTTTAGCGAATCAGCGTCAAGATTTTCACTTTGTCCGACATCTTGAATATGCCACGTGATATGATGGATATAATTAGAAATATAAATGATAGATTAGCAGGCTTGTGTGAATAACGTGTATGAAGATTTGAATAGAGGATTGAAAAAGACCACCGTCGTTCTGTTTCTGTGAGGACGATACCTTGAGATAAAGTTTGATAATACTGAATATGATTTTATAATTAGATGTAGCCCGCAAGACTCTCTATATCAACAAAACTGAAAAGAAAAAGCAGGATTTTGACGCAACCGATAGCCCCACCAATAGAACACTACTACTGGAAACAATTCTTTAGTTTCCAAGCAATAAAAGGATGTGAAATGATAAACACAGTATATTTTATACAGTTTCTTTTGTTTCCATTTCAATATGTAGCTACTTGTATCTGAAAGACAAGAATAACAAATCATAAATGGTAAGGTACACCTTCAGTCGGTTATAAAACGAATTTTGTATGGAATAGGAAGTGAAGCATTGAGAAGCTACTATCTCTTGGTATATACTAATCAAATACTAATCCCTTCCGTCTTCTGTTAAAGTTAGTGTCTCGGACTATTAGACAAAATGCTCTTTAGTAATGTTTTGGTCAACAGTATCATCATATATAACACCTCGATTCTTTTAAATGTATTATTAAAAGAGAACTTTCAGATGTTTATAATTTCGTTTTCTTTTCATATCTCATCCCCTATAATTTTAAACAAACATGAAAGAGGGCTCTGATCATATGAATATAGGTTGATTTATATTTTGTATTTGGGCTCCATCCAACGAAAAGATGTGTATTCTGTGCTTTCGAGATACTTATTGACCACCATAAGTTGCTGTTGTTATCTGAGCACCATACTGCATCGACACTACAAATAAACTTGCAGTCCCGTGTCTTCAAATATTCAGACTGTAACCTTATTATATTTTCATCGAACTGGCTAAAGGATGAACTTAAGGATTTATTAATTTTTTCTGTGTCGTACTGCCAAAACAGTATTGATAATAAAAATATTATTCGAAATTTTGAAACATTAGGCAAGAAATGTATATAATGGATTAAGGAGGTTGATATTGATATGTTTAATCAGTTATAGATCACTTCTCTAATTACTGAAAGGTTGACAGTACAAAATATTTGAAAACTTAACATTCTATTCCGATTATTTATCATCAAAATCAACCCAGTTCTCAATGGCTTAATTCAGTTTAAAATTAACAACAGATTTTGATGTCCATTTGACAAAATAATACATGACTAAATCTATCTATTATAAACATAATTATCTTTGATTTAAATGATCTTATTGACAAAATACTGCCAAGACCCCAGTATTCATGTATCAACTCTGATTGTGTGGTCGTTTTATTTAGAATAAGACCTTTTATTGCCAAATAACAAACTCTAATCCTTCTAATGCTTCTCATATTTCTGGGACTTTTCATCAAGTCAGCCTCACCTGGGTCTCTCATATCCAGTATAAAATTGCCAACTAATCTGTTTCTAATTATTGTCACTAATACCTTTCATTCACCACATTTCACCGAGAAGACAATTTAATCGTTACTGCTCCAGGTTGTCGCCAATGTTAAAATCTTATGTTGCCTTCAAACGTTCTAACAAACAATAATACCTTTTATTTCAAAACAAGAAACCCTTAATACATATTGATTCTCTAGAAATAAACTAAAAACTGTGACCGATTGTTCTTAAAAATCATTTTTGAAACAGATTTGTATGAAACTTTTGGGAAAGTTCTATTAAATAGTTAAGTCATTGCAGTTGTGAATTGTACTTGTAAAATCATATCAATACAATAAGCCACGTTTTTCTTTTCAATAAAATATATGCTGAATTCCATCACGATATTTGAAAAAATGATTAAATCTCTATAAACTGCCAAAATTAATTAAGGACCTTTTCCACATCTTTGTTCTACATTAATTTTTTGTAATCTGAGGAGATCGCCAGGTTCGAATTTTTCGAGATTTTATGCGCAAATATTGATACTTTTACCAGGTTTTCATAATTATTAGAAATTGGATCAGATTGATTTTAAACTTTAATAAACTTAAGACCAAACTAATTTCCCACTGTAGCAGTCATGGGAAAGATTGAATCAATGAAATTCAGAATATTTCGAGCTTTGGAGATATGGGATATTTTTATTAGGTCTGCTCTGTAATGAAATGGTTAATTATACCTCAAATGCATTGTTATCAGAAAATTAAAATTTTTACTATTCCTTGCAGGTGTTGTTTTGTAACTTCAGCACTCTGTGGAGTAACATCATGTTATGGGCTCAATCCAACGTGTTCTGTTCTCACGTAGTTGCAAATTTTCAATGTTCAATGTTGCCATGACAAATCTTTCTCAACAAATCTGTGCTTCAATGACCACCACTTTGATTCTACAAAAAAATCGTACCTGTGATATGCATGGCTAAATTGTTGAGCTGGTCAGGGTCTGAGACAAAACAATGCCATTTTCGACAATGTTAACACGCTTTATGTCCCATTCTGACTACAACGTCTATATTTTCCCATAATGCGCTCTGTCTAAGATTGTTATAATCATATAACTTTATATATTAGGAAAATATGCAAAGATTTCCACTAATGTGAAATAATGAGCGATCATATAATAATAAAACATCCCACTAAATCCATAGAGTATACAAATTTGAGAATTTGATACCACTTGTGTCACAAATTCACCCCCAAATAAGTTGAAAATATAATAGTTTTGTTGACAGGCGTAAAGTTTATCTCAAATTAACAATAGTTGATGGTAGGTGGGGGACACATCAAGCCAAACAGCCCTACATCACACACAAATCACCATGCTTGATATCACAACGGGGGTTTCCTATATCTTGTTTTCTATTTACATTTCTTTATTAATTCTTTACATTTTTCTCTAACGTTTTGTAAATTACGAATGCTCTGAGATCAAACTTGTCCTAAATGCTAATGATATGGCGGTTCTAACATTTATATTAAATTCAGACGGGAGAAACATTATGCTTACAATTCCATATTTTCGGATATGTATCATTTATTATTATTCGTTGAATCTCAGATTATCATCATCTTCAAATTTTGAAATTCGAATTCATTTGTTCGGATCACATTTCTTAATAATAAAACATAAACAAAAATAATTAAATTTCAAAAGAAAGTTTTTTTCTTAAAGTAAAATATTACATTGATATATAAAAAATTTCGATGTCGAATGCTGCCATCTTGAAACTACTTTGTTTTTTGATTCCCTAACAAACCAAAAGTTTTAAAAAAATAACGCCGAAACAATCGTGTAGATATATTTAACATTGTTTCACTGAAGGTGCCGAAAACAAAAATCTCTACCAGAAAACAACTAGGTGTGTTAATACGATCCGACTTGCAATTGGTGATCAACAATACTGCAAACTGTAGAAAAGTTTGTAGGAAGCCGTGGAAAACGTCGATCTGCTATTGGCTAAGCGGTGATTATTGACTGATATCATGGTATTGTAAAGGATGAGTAATCGCCTGATGAAGTTTGAATACAAGCCATTATAATACACCATTCACGTTTATTATCAAACAGAATAGACCAATGATAAACTAGCGATTCAACACGCACCGTCAACTTCTATAGAATTCACTGTGAATATTCAGTGATTGGGCGGGACGGACTGGGGATTCGTATAGCTGACAGTCCTAATTATCTAACGCTTCATGAAGTTTATAAGCAGTGTACTAATATTAGAAAAACGACAGTAGTTGTCAGTGAGCTTGGGTCCTCTAACAATTGTCATCTTCAACATGTGTAGTTCGAATTCAGGGACAATTTTACCTTATGGTTTGAAGATACCAACACCGTCACCGTATTTCCCGTTTGCACCAGGGGTTGGAAATCTGCCACTAGATGTTCAAAGATCTCAACTGTGTGATTATGCTGCTAGATTACAGTACGGATTACGAGGATATCCAGGACTTGGAATTTCGCCGTACCATGCCCATCTTCCAGATCCGTACACTCAAGCGTATCTGTACAAACACGATCTAAGAGCTCGCTACATTCAAGAGGAACCAAAGCCAAGTCAAAGTTATATTGGACTTATTTCCATGGCTATTCTCGGCTCCAAAGATAAGAAATTAATACTTAGTGACATTTACCAATGGATACTAGATAATTATGCCTACTTTAGAACTCGTGGACCAGGTTGGAGGAACAGTATTCGTCATAATTTATCCTTAAATGACTGTTTTATTAAATCAGGGAGAAGTGCTAATGGTAAAGGACATTATTGGGCAATTCATCCAGCTAATTTGGATGACTTCTCCCGGGGTGATTTCCGGAGACGACGAGCTCAGAGAAAAGTGAGAAAACATATGGGTTTAGCTGTACCGGATGATGAAGATAGCCCTAGTCCATCACCCTCATCCACACCTGTTAATTGGCAAGGTTCGTACCAAGATGATAAAGTCGACGAAATAAAATTAAGCGAGGTCGTAGAGAACACGTCAAAAATTGAAACTGGGTGTTCGCCCGCTACTGGTACGGGAAACGGACCGCCAGCTAAGAAGCGTCTGTTTGATATGGAAAGTATATTAGCACCCGACAATCATCGAGGGTCTCAAATAACACTACAAAATGAAAATAATAACTTAGATGATGGCGAATCCGAGATCGAGATTGACACAGATAGAGAAACAGTCGACGTGTGTGAAATTGACAGTCAACACTCCAACGAAGAAGCTCCCTTGTCACCAAATTCAACCCCTTCTTCTCCAATGGAAGATGGAACGCTTTCACCAAGAGTTCATTCTCAAGACGACGCCGAACCAGGAGAAATAAAACCGGAATCGTTTTCGTCAACGTCGAAATCCGAACTGTGGTCTATCGGAAATGTATTACACGGCCGACCCAGTGCTTCCCACCACCATTTACCAACACAAGCTCCATGGGATGCTTATGCTACCTATATCTATCCAATGTTATCTTCATCTTACTCCGTCGTACTACCAGGAACTACGTCTATTTCCGCAGAAGCTGCGTCAAGATGGCGAGAAGCTATGTACGGAACTTCATCTCAACGACCAAAGTCGCCAAAAGAGGAGAAAAGCGAATAACAAAAAAATTCCTAACCGATGTGTTTGAAAAAACTGAAAACTAGTGAGATTTATTATTTAATTCAACTGAAAATCTGTGATAAATTTAACACTATATATAAAAACACAAGCACATTCTTCTGTCTCAAATGATTCCAATGTAAGAAATGAGATGTTTAGATCTTTGTGAATTATTTCCCAAAGGACATCGTTCAAGGTAGGCTAAATGTTGAGATTTTTGTCTTTAATTTAATTCTATTTTAAAATAGAACTTAATATAGTGCGATTGATTGACAGTTTTAGTTCATGTTGGATTCCCGTATTTTTATTGTTTTTCTTCTTATGAGGTTAATTTAAATATCATTCAAATGAAATTAATTCGATTTTTGATATAGGAGAAATGTATTTTTAAACAAGGTTTAATTTATTTTGATAAATTTCTATTATTTATAATTAAAAACTATATAGTACTATGTTATATATCTCAGTGTCCTCAATGCATGTGGCATAACGTGTGTATTTTCTAAAATAAAATAAATATAAATTGTTAAAAATTCGGGAATGCAGATATAAATGTTAGATATTATATTATATAAATAAATATTATGTATAAATTTATTATTAAGCATTAGTGTGCTATTTATAATATTAATAAATAGTTGTAAGATTTATTACAGTCTTTTACATTTATTTCAAGAATATAATTCAAAATATTTCTCTTTTTGCAGAAGATTTATGCTAAATTTCACTACAAATTCCAAAAAAGGAAAGCACTGATACACCTGCAGGGAAATCTTTCAAATTTTACTGTAAAAGCAGATTTGTTTGTATTTTAACTTGACGAAGAATGGATGAAACTATTAATGAAAACATTCATAATGTATTTATGATGTCGCATGGTTTAATTGCCAAGAATACAAGAGAATTGTTTTATTCTGAATGACGGAAATTACACGATCAATATATACGCCGAGTGTTTTAAGTAAACAATAAAAACTACTGAATAAGCTGAATATACTAAATGCTTCAATGATGCAACATAATCCTTCATTCAAACTGCTACAAAACGTGTATTATAGATCGGTTTTGGTTCAATTCGCGGGGTCGGGCAAACTTTGTTGGCCATTTATCAAAGAATGTTAAATTATTTAATATTTGTTAGATGAATATTATTACTTTTTTCGCATTCGATCCACACTTTCTAATAAACGCATTCGAAAAAAAAAATTCTAAGTTAAAAAAGAATTTAAACTGTATAGTTTTCTCTTTTATTGAAAGTATATAAACATCATAACAAACAACAATACCATAATTTCAAAATAATTCATTTTATTGAGAAATTTATATTTGTCGACTTCGCTAAGGCTTTCGACACAGTGTACATACTTTAAAGACGGCAAATAGTAACTAATTGAGAAAATATTCAAAACTTTTATGATTATGGGATATTTTATTTCATATTACAATAAGGAAACGATTACAATATAAATCAATTTTACAGTGGTTAAGAAAAATAAATTGATCTTTCGTTTCGAATTTTAACCTCAAATATTCTATGATATAATTTTGATGCTTAAAAATATTATTTTCATAGTCATAGAGATCAAAGGTTTTAGATCAATAACAATATTTTGTGGCTTGATCATTTTATAAAACAAACTAATTAGTGAATTAATATTGTATATACAAACTGTGAAATATATAATATAAATGTTATTTATCATATTTCTGTATTTCTAATCAACAACTGGTGCGTGTCTCACTGGTTTATTCATTACTAATTAATTTTCATATTTCAATTAGTAACTTTCATTTGATATTCGCCGCATGATAACTAATTATTTTTCACAGATATTTTATAATATTTACATTCTACAATGTCCTTTCTTTTAAAGTATTCTTAAAATGACACCGTTGTTAACGAAGAAGTTTTTGAAAAACACAGAATTATGATGATATTGTAAGAAATTGTAGAAAATTTCAGTATAGTGGGATAATATTTTATTTTCGATCTCTATAAGGTTTACCACTTATATTGCATACCTAAAATATTATGAAAATATAAAACTGATAAGAAGAACACATGCGTAGAATAAAACATTCAAGAAGATTTATAAAGTGTAATATATTTTGATATAAACAATAAACTTATAACACTGAACACAAGTTTTATTTAAAAATTTTATAAAAAAAAAAAATTTTACTTCTATAAAATATAATACTTAATAATACTTTTGAATTGTACACAGAAAAAAGCTTCAAAGTATTTTCTTAAAAATTAACCATGAAGTACAATAGCCATTATTAGATTTGGTAATTTGGTATTTGGACTATCTGAAAAAATTAGTTAACTGACTGACAAGTTCCTATAATTTACTAAACAATAATCAAAATAGCATCCAAAATTATCTTTACTTTGACCTTTTCAGAAAACTTGTCTTATTAGTGTCAGCTAGACACGCGACAGAAAAACATCGTTTATTTTGTCAACTTTCAATTATGTTCACGCAATGATGTTGCTGCAAATTTACGAGTTAACGACCCTTTAGACATTTTATGATTCTTTCATGCCGAATATTTACTTTTAAATACTAAACATAATTAAAATACTGTTGTGGTAATTTAATTACAATCAATATTTTATTCTTTCAAGTGTAACGTAATAAAACCACAAGAGTTCAATCCAAGGCAACACTACCAAAAGAACACGTATACATGTATAGCCTACGAATCCAAGGCATGATTGTTCATGAACAGGGAAACAAATTAAACAGTGCTCACACACATCCAGATATGTTAATAATGTTTAAATAACGATAAAAAGTTTATAAAATGTAACAAATCATCGATAGAAACAACAAAATTAATATAGTAACAGAGACAAAACAAACGATATCAAATCAATGTTCAACATGAATTTATTCGATTTTCAGGGAAATATGATAACACACATCGATCGTCAAACTGACATGATTCGTAAACAAAATCCACGCATATTTATAATCAGAAATGAAATGAAATGAATCCTACTTTTATAATCAGAATTATTCATAATTTTAGAATACATAAAACATATCAAATTATTATTGAAAAAAAAATATTATCCCCAATTACGCTTTCTTGCGTTGACCATTTAATGGCCATATCTATCGTAGATGGTAAAACAGACCGATTGCGAATCACTTTAACCTTCATGACCACAGCAAAAAATCTTCAGCAAATAATTCCCTTCATTACTACATATTATAATCATTGTGCGACCAATGTACCAGTAATTCTGAAAAAACACCATAACGCTCTGCAAGATAAATACCCACATGTTTATACCAAAAGAATTAATGCGTCCATGTAGAATAAAAATCATTCAGTCCATGGCCCACTGTATTTACTTTTGTGTCAAATCTTTTTATTCCGTTAGTAATAGGTCAAAAGGTTACAGTACTTAATATCAGGATAATGAGCGCTAATAGGTCTATATATATTTTTTTTAGATTATTTTTAACAAGTTTTTGCTTTTTTGATTTGAATTTCCAGAACCGAGGAAAAAACAAGATTTTTATTTAATCATAACAATTTTTAACTATTGTTTACACTAACTATCTCATCCTTTTGTTTCCTAGGACAGTGCGTTTTTGAGAATACTATTCTCATCTCACTCTAACACAAACTCTCATAGCATCATTCTTGAATTTAACACTGAAATAATAAAAGAAACAAGCAGAGCGATATATTTATAAATCATTATTTGAAATCTCGAATTTCGAATTTAAAAGGGGTTACATGTTTAAAATCTATTACTGTTTATCCAGGCATACTTCAAATCTAAAAACCATCTCATCATATGTCAAAACAGAGACCCCTTATTTTTACGTGATATTTAAAATTTATCAATGTTCAAATTCTGAAGCATTTGTAAGAAGTAACATTACAAATCTGAAAACATTTACTAGTATGTTTCAAATCTATCAAAGTGGACATATATATTACAATTATTGTGTAAATTGTAACACAGGCATAATATATGCAATTCCAATCGGATTCAAACCTCAAAGCTTAAACATTTCATATTTATTGATATCATATCGATTATTTTGGCCAAGTTTAACTTTATTTGAACTTATATCAATCTTTGTTTACAAATTTTCATCAACCATTAGCTGACTGTATAGTAATGAAGTTTTGCTGTTCACTAATGGTAGTAGGAAATATTTAATGACGCTCAATAATTAACAACATTTATAGGCTGTTTTTATCAATATTTAGAGGGTGTCTAAATC